GTGTATCCCGATAATACAAAAATAGTCGCCTTACCAAAATATGCCACTATAGCCCGACGTAAATGTCTTTTAGTCATTATAAATTTCTACTGTCTCTTCTCACCATAGACAGCTGAAACCCAAGATCATTTACATCTAAGCTCCGTTGCTTGGAACAACCAGCTTAATAAGGCATTTAGAAAATCCAAACATGATCATATTAACGCTGAATTTCTTTGTTAGCTTTTTCCAACTCACAAGCTGAATATTATGGACGGCGCTACTGACACTTCCAAGGGAGCGGTATTACACGTGTGACACATTAACAACAACCAGCCCTTAGCATTGTCCCTCCCAAAGCTCATTCCCACTCAATAAATATACAGCACGTATGACAGACACTTAGCTCACTGTTTACGCAGCTATGAAATACTTCAGACAATATTAAAGGCCAGCATTTCTCTACATTTACTGACCATCGACCTCCAATTTATGTATTCACTTCAAAACCAAATTCTGCTTCCCCGCAACAAATTAGGCATTTAAATTGCATAGCTCAGTTCGGCCATATATTTGCTTTCAGCAATGTCACTCTTACACTCATCAAAACGTCGATGGAACGCACCACTGGATCTCACTCCTATTGCTCACTACAAGCCACACATGATGAGTTAAAACATGTCAGTGAAGATTCATTGTGCTCATTGACATTCTAGTTTTTAACACTGCAGTTATTTTATGGTAAACAAATAAATAATTATGGTAAACAAATATTTTATGGTAAACAAATAAAATTTTCTCTAATGGTAAACAAATTAACACTCTGTCCTTGTATTCCTAAATATGATTCATTCATCTTTCCAAAAGTACCTTACTTCGGGAATGTAACAAAAGTGTTTCATGTCCACTGCCTATCTCTTAGCATAAAAGTCATAAATATTATTGAATTTAAAGCTCGGCACTTAATAAAATTAACAATGCTTACAGTTTAATTCAAAACGATTTTCAGGTTTTTTGGGATTGGTTTGGGCACTAAAGTCTCACAATGAATGGGGCGGTGAGCAAATTTAGTTCCGGGCGCAACTTTCCTTATTTCAGAAATAACAACGGAATGTTTTCCTGTTAAACCCTCCGTCACTGCATACCGCAGTGTACTTATTCCAAGGAATGTCATTGACATAAAATTGTCAATTAATTTGAAAATTTCATTTGCAATTGCTCTGTCATGAAGAGATTCACAAAATAAATACTCTTCGGCAATTCGTTTATCTTTTTGGAAATGTTTGTACACTAATAATTGAATAAAGTTCGTTATATCAATACTTTCATCCAATTGCAATGCTTAATACTCACTGAGTTTTATTTTTTTAATACGTGTCACTTTTATAGAATTTATCATTTCATGAATTCGTCAACTTGATTACGGAATATTATTAATTTCATTAGCCGCTTTTTCGTTGGATAATGTTAAAATGATATCTTTAGCTGCTGGTGATATAAGGTTTTCTCCAATAATGTGAGCTTGCCCAGTCTTTGCAAATCTCAGACTAACTAGGTAACTAACTAGCTTCCAAAGCTTTTTCGCTTTAAATAAATCTTACATTACTTGTTTCCTGCTTTTGAGCTCCGATAATTTCGTCTTAAAATATTCTTCAGATTTATCCTTTAAATTTGCAAGCTTAGATTCAAGATGTCTTTTAAGAAACGATGGTTTCATACTTTGATTGTGCTCAATGTGTTCATCGCAAACAACCCATTGAGGTTCAGGTTCATTTCATCACCATTCCAAGTAAACCCAAATGACTTTCATTATATTTTCTATAAAGAATTGTACTTTTATTTTCAGTATTCTTAGTGCTAGTAAATTGTTCTGAATCCATCGCCTGGGAATCATTACTTTTCCGCTTAATAAAGCCATTTTTTCATTTTGAAAATCTAGGGGATATTTTAACTATTTTTTCACAAATATTTAGATGCACAGTATATTACGAGTTCTTCAAAAACAAACGACAATATTCTCAAATCGCGTAGAAAAGTAAGGAATACAAAACAACAAGAAGACTGTTAGAGAAAGCAAACTGACGTAAAAAAGTCATTCTAATTTAGAGCCCGGAAATGGTGGGGCATAAGGTATAGACATGCTAATAAACCAATCATCTCAAAAAGAATTAATGAGATATTATTATTTCTTTATAGGAACTTATTTTTGTTTCCTATTAAATAGAACATCCATTTCTATTACTCCTTTTAAAAACGTCATTTATAACAAACTTTGTTATGTCTATGGTTAAAAGAATACTTATGAAAATAAAAACAGATTTTTTTGCTATGAGCGACTATTGACCTTGAACAAAGCTCAGATCGCATCAATTTACGAGCGTTTGAGAAAAAAAATGAATTTTGGGAAATTTAATTTTTGAATTCAATAGTTAAAATACTTTGTTTCTTTGTGCACCACCTAATTAAGGTTTTTGGCAAAATGTAACCCCATTTGTTTATAAAAAACGTTGGAACGTGGAATACAACAAAACGCATAAGAAAATGGCGATCTTGGTTGACTGAAAAATTTCTATCAGCATGGTGCCTGGAGGTTGCCTCTCATGATTGCCAGACTTCGCCGCATTCTGAAAATTTGGCGACTTCTGCAAAAGTAGTCGCGATAATATGTAAGTACCGAGAACTCATAGATTTCAGTCTAATTTGAAATAGCACTCGAAAGTGTTATTGTAATTGAAGTTTTGAAAAAAAGTGCTGATAATATGAGTAATTTATTAAAATATTCTTTTAAGAAATTCGTCAGCTTCTAAATTTTCATCATTTAATTAATTTCTTTAAATCAGCCACGAATATCATATCTAGTTTTCATATCTCTACAAGTAAATCGTCTGCTTTGCTTTATTTAAGTATAGCAAAGCACTCGAGAGGCTATCTGCCTAAGGGAAGGATTGACTTTGTGAGGGACTTCCTAAGGGAAACAGCCTCGTATACACATTACACGTGGGGAGAATCACAAAAACGCCCATCCAGCCAGCCCGCTCGATAAGAAATTAAGTGATGTTATATTAAACACACTAAGCTGTTTCTTTATCAGTTGCTGTCTTGCATTTCCAGTGAGCTAAAGTTTTATTTTATATTCATTCACGTTGGAACAATATTATGAGTTCGAATAAGTTATGTTATTCATTTTGTTTATAATAATATCATTTAGTACTGACGAATAGTAGAAATACCTGCTACAGTCTTCTTATATTTTGCTAAAAACACATAAAGTCCATTTCATGATGGTCAGGAGTATTCAAATATAAAAGAGGTCTAAATGTAGTGAGCGAAAGGCTGATTTGATAAGCAATACTTCATTCTAATATACTGATTTTTAATCCGCTATCAATAAATAGAGTTTACATATTTTGGTTTTAGAAGCTAAAACTGGAAAGCAAACTGCTGAAACATTAATTTTCGAAAAAAAACAACATTTTCCCATTTTTTAAGAATAAATGGCTGTCAGACAATTTGCTGTAATATAAAACACAATCCAAGAGCATTTGTCAATTATTAGGTGTTGTGTTACTTTCCCTTTCACCGACTTTGAAGGTTTATTTATTAAATTATCTGATTTAGTTTCTCTTATTTATTGCCAATGGAAAAATAAATAAGTGTTGAATAAAAACAACTACTTACTCCTATAGGAAATACACAAACCTTTTTGGCATTTTAATTTGAAATTTGAGAACGCCAATCACACAAAATTGTGTTTTTAGTTTTAGATGAGTTTCGTAGTCATTTGCTTACAATTACCTCATAAACTGTAATTTTCAAACAAATGGATTATTGTATTTACTTCCGGCTGTTCATGCTTAATATTTATTCTGTTTGCAATTACTATATCAAAAATAAAACCTTATTACTGAATTAATACGTATCAAAGTTCCTTTAGTTAGAAAATGTATTTCATCATTCTTCCTCATTTCCACTACAAAAACCTTTCACTGTAATTTTATCTTAACCAAGGGAGAACAATAAAATGGTACTACCATTATTAAAATGTGGAGCAATAATATTTTCTTTTATGACATGCATTAGCCATTTTAGGCTTCGGCCTTTATTAAGACCAGAAGCGGTGGTCATTTTATTATGGAGGAACCTAACAAGCGGCCACCGTCACCTCCTACAAAGAGGCGAACAATTCACATCCTTGACGTCTGCGGGTTTTGAGACCGGACACTTTGGTACAGTAATCAGGGTCACTGACCACTTTCCCGTCTAGGCAGCGGAAAAATATGCAATGCATAATATACCAAATTTTAGGGGTTTATTTAATGTCTTTAACAGTTATTTTATGTTTCAGCACCTTCCCCATCCCTCTTGCTTTCAACTCACACTTGATTGCCAGAATGCAGATTCACTAGCGCGCATTGCTTTCAAATTAAGTAGAAGATAGTATTTAAAGAAAGGATTTGGAAGGTGGGTTCAGAGCATGTTCTGCCCACCTGAAGGCCCCGTTGCTAACCTTTGATTCTATAGCGGTTAAAATTCGAGCTATTCTTGCCATTAGGCTTGTTTACCCAGACTTTCGAGTCACAGCCAGCTTGTGGGATAGTTAACCTGCGAAGCTGTTAGGCTCCATTACTTTTAAATTATTCATTACCTTTTGAATTAAGCCAAAAATGTTCGCTTTTGTAAGCACGAGTTGCTGCCGACTGGTAACGTTTTTTTAGTTAATAAGAGTTCCTTCTTCTGACTTTGTAGTACTTAAGGACTTGGTGATAATCCACCAAATAGCCTTCACCATCGAATACATTTTATGATAGCCAAGTGTACAAGACGTTATGAATTTCATAGCATCTACCACATACAAAATGTCGATCCATGGTCAAATCTTGAAACACAGTCTATTGTTATATTAACCAGGACTTAAAATTTATCTGCCTGGCGAGTTTAGTGTCAAATCGTAGCTCAAAATTTAAGATACTCATTTTTTGTTGTTGTTGTTAACGCAATTAAGACATACTTTCTCTTTACAGATACATTAATTCTGATGAACTTGTGAGCTGTTCTGTATCTGATCTCAAACAAACGCTGAAAGTAGCAACGAAATTCGGAATAAAATCTCTGCAAAACCTGTGCGTTTCGAGGTTTACAGACCTGGATATCAACGCGGACAATGTGTTTGAAGTATTAGAAGCTGCGGACTTCGTAAGACACGAAGAAGTTCGTCAGAAATGTATGAAGGTTCTCATAAATTATACTGAAGCTGCGTTAAATTCTTCTGCGTTTAAAGATGCAAGTCTGGCTACTGTGCTTTGTATGTTTCGATTGACGGAATTAAACATTTATAGTGAATCCTGCTTACTTGAAGCTGCTATCTCGTGGTTAAAACATAATCCAACTTGTTCAAAAAATTAACTATTGTCTTGCATAGATATTACGACACTAAGTACTGAAGAATTTTTAGGAATTGTAGAAAAGTTTCCAACATTTTTTAGTGACAAAGAAATAGTCAAAATTCTTTTAAATATTAGACATTTTGGATCTCGAGATTTGCCTACATTTTGCGTTACTCATAGCGTCAGAAGAAACTTTCTTAAACATAAGAACAAAATACCTCATAAATTCGAGACTACAGAAACTGCTGAGACAGCGTTTGAATCTAAATTGTTTCCTGCAAAAAGGACCACAGGAACAGAAATAAAAACTACAGCTGTTGTTACTGCAAATAAATGTATTCAAACCTCTGCTTGTACGTATATTTCAGATCCTTCAAAACCAGAGCAAAGAAATCAGTTAAATGCGGAATGGAAGAGTTTTTTCTGCGCCTGTAAGAATTCTGAAAACACTACCCAAGAAACAGTTCACTACTCAACAGACAATAAAAATTTACTGAAAGATCAGCCGTTAATTTTCAATGAAGAACATTTCTCAGGCTCAGAGGTAAGTTATTTAATTTTTGATATTCATTTCCTCTTTTTTAGTTAATTGCATTTCATGCATACACAATGAGAATAAATATATCTTTTCCCGCCTAAAATACGCGTAACAAATTATGCATTCAAAATCAAAGACCTAATTTTCTTTTTCTCATGTCGCATTTCCTTAAAATTCCTTCTTAGAGCCGATACACATTAAATGTCAGTACTTCTTTACTATAGTAGCCCTCGAGATTGAATCGCCAATCAACCGAGAATTTAATTTTGTTTTGGCATTTTTCATATAAACTTTAAAAGTTTAAATCACTTTTCCAACTATTGCCACCAAATATTATTGCCCTGTATTATATATAAAGAAATTAAATAATGAAGAATCTGCATAAATGTATGCATGTTTCTCGCATTGTGATAAAGCAACGGCACTTAGAGCCATCCAATTTTTAATAACGTACATCTCCACCCGAATATGAGCACCTGGATACCCAAATTTAGAATTCCGTTTTTTATCTGTTTCACATTTTTATAAAGCATTTAGGAGTTTTTGATTAAGAATCTCAACGATTTCAAAGCCAGCAATGTCAACACTGTACGCAAAGAGAAAAAAAAAAACATTTTTATCTCCAGCGTGAGAGACTGTATATCGGAAATTCTAAAGATATGCTCCTTTTTAATTTATTTTGCGGTATTGCTGTTGAATTGCATTTTATCGTTTAAGTGCGAAGAACATATATTTAACAAATAAAGGTAACATACAAAACGTTAAAAAAAACCCTTTGGGCGTAATTTTTTTAAAAATTTTTTTTGCGTAAAAGTATATTAATTGTTTTTTTTCTGTGAATATAACGTTAATAACCTTTAATTTACCAAGTGGTGAGGCGGATGCGATATCCATGTTTTAATAAAAAGATGTTTTACCTGACAAACGAGCATGGTAAAATGGCCATAATATGTTACTTTACGTTAACGATGGAACCATTTGGAGGTGCAATGTTAAAAACTGCAAAACGAAGAAGGTCTTTCGTGTTGGAAAATTTGTTCAGCAGTTCCAGAAACATCGCTCCTCACTGCTATTAGATTTGTGTATTCCTGAGCGGGGGTGGTGGTGTATTTAATTATGGCAAAGCACATTAGAGGTATCTGCCTAAGAGGCTGGGTGCCTTCGTGGAGGACGTTCTAAGGCAAACTGGAGCGTATACACGTTACACATGGGGAAAACCACAAAACACTCATGCAGCCAGCCCGTTCGCGCGATTCGAACCTCGAACCGAACTACCAGTTTTCAGCGACTTTACCGCTCGGCCGCTGGTGGGCCTCCTGAGCAGAGGAATTGACGTATATGAAACGGTCTCTGAGCGGCCGTCACAATAAGCTTGCCACTGCAATGCTGCTGCCTCATCCACGTAATTCTATGGATGTCCTATCGCGGGTATTAGCAGCTTGTTTGTCATTGATTTAAAACTTTTATCTCTGCTGCTTTTCATTCTGTATATACTGTTCTAGTACATTTTATATTTTTTCCTCAAGTAGAAACTGACATCATTCTGAAATTTAAGATTTTGTATGAGAAAACTTTAGCGATAGTATGACGCTAATACAACCGTCATATATGTTTAGTCCTATTTACTTACAGCGTAGGTGCATGTTCTATTGATTTAACGTGTAAATTTTGCTACAAATTCCTCGTTAGCGATAAGTCAAGGTATCTTATCGCTAGCCTGTATATAACACGTGTTAAGAAATAAGCCTAAAAGTGTAGCTGTAGATGTATTTTACACAAAAATCTGATCGCAGACAGAAGACGTAACATTCGGGAATTTGTGTCGTCTTTGAGCTCAATTAATGCAGAAAAATTATTTATTGTTTTCTATATTAAGGTTTTTGAAAATGTTTGATAAATAACAAATCAGTCAAAATTTTATAATATTCATAACTGATTTGACTGATATTAAGTACTAAATAATTTGTATTCTTTAATTATTTGATAAACACTTTAGTAAAGTTATTTCTTAATAACCCTATTTCTATTTGATTTTTAACTTGGTTCTTATTTTAGTAAAAATGCTATTGGAAACCTTCCATTTTTGTTACAATTAATTTTTTAACAATGGTTTTTCCGTACCAGAACTTACCAGTAACAGGCATGTTTGTTTTTCGTAATACCAGCATTCGCAGAAATGGCAGTTTTGTAATCACTAACATAAATTTTCCAATTAAAAGCATAATCCCAATCCCTGCGATACCAATTTTTATTCAATTATTTTAGAACAGCCGCTTTGCACATGGAAAGAACAGACCTTCGCTTTTCTGTTTAGAGCCATATCTAGGATTTTCAGAACGAGGAACAAGTGCACATTTTGCGTGCCCTCCCGTTTGCCAAAATGGAAATACGGAAGAAAAAGAAAATTTTACTGAGCTCAGGGACAGATGTCTTCCCTTGTCCTCTATCATATAAAAATATTGACTCAGTCTTTGTGTTAAAAATAGTGAATGTTTTCTTTAGTGATTAACATTTTGTTCAAAGTAATTTTTCAATTTCCCCTTATGTTTTCCAGGTGAATAGAGCGGAAAGGAAGCAAGCGTTTTCCGGAATGTCTTCTACATGGAATAAAGAAGAAATACTCAGGCAGCTGACTGTCTCTTCTTTATGTAGTGAACATCCGAGTTGCCAGTCGCTTCCGCCATCAGAAATACATGTATACCGACTCGGGGAGAATTGGCCATTATCGAGAAATAACAAATACAAGCCCATGAGTGATCAATTTAGATCCCCAGAAATGATAAATCGCCCAATTAACCAGAAATTTTCATGCAGAATCACAGACGACTCTCACCATAGCAATTTACCAACAAGCATTAGAGAAGATCCAGTCAGTAATTCAGTTCAGCCGCCAAGAACGGTAGACGACACTAACAGTATGTCTATTCTTCCTTCAAGCTTGATGGGAGATTCAAACGGCAAGCCACTTCCGCCTTCAAGGGTAATGACAGATCCAAACAGTAAACCAATTGTGCCCCCTAAACCGATGAGAATACAAGAAATTTCGCCCGGAATAATAAAGGAAAATCCAAGAAATAAGCCTGTTCTACCCCCAAGACCGATGAAACATTCAAGCAATAAGCCGACTCCGCTCCAACGAATAAAGAAAGATCGCATTAACGACACCATCCCGTCCCAAGGCAAATAGTAATTGTTGCAATAATATTGTTGCTTTCTACGGGTTCGTGGATTTCGAGTGATCGATAACAACACGTGATGAAGAATCAAAATACAATTTATTCGCCAGTGTCACTGAGGAGACAGTTCAAAAACACGTTTACAGTCATCGAAATGACTACGTTAAAAAATCAGCAACACAGCCTTTGGGCTATCAGGCTATAACAGTGAAGACATCTTCACGGCAAAGCACTAAAGTACAGCTTCCGACTCGGTTCGGTCACTCTCGGAGCTCAAGGCACTGCTACTGAACTCAACGTACTCTCGATGACATACTGATGATACTCACCGATACTCTGCGCATAGAAAGGGGGTTTATATAGCTTTTGGCCTGCCTTCGAGATCATTCTGAGCCAAACCGATGAGAATTAGTTCTAAAATGTTCTCCATCCGTCTATGGCTTATCGCCAAATGGGCGATTTCGCGCTAAGTCTGGCAACCCTAATTTTCCTTGCCATTTGCCAACTTTGTCGGGAAGCTGCCTGATTGCAGCTGAGCATTTCGTAACTATTCTATATATTCATTAGTATATACTTCTATATATTCATTAGTATATACTTCTATATATTCATTAGTATATACTTCTATATATTCATTAGTATATACTTCTATATATTCATTAGTATATAATACCTATTACATAGTATATTGAAATACCAAAGGAAAGATGTACTTATCGTTTGTAGTTCAGGTTCACTAAGGGTATATAGAATCTGAAGCAGACATTAAAAAATTTCAGGCATAGGAAAATTATAAACCCCTTTAATTAGTTATTAATCTGTCTTATTAAATATTTTTAAATACTCATATATTACAAAGTTTTAGATACTTTTCCTTGCTTTTTAATAAAACGTAAACATTAATTTTAAGATATATTCGAATGCAATAAACTGCATTTTATAAAAATTTAAGATTCGAATCAGTTATAATAATAAGTTGTAGAGACGTTAGGTATTTTTTGGAAGCAGGAAAGATGAAAAATGAGCAAACGCCTTCGCGGGAATTGAACCACGGACCTCTGGAATACCGGCCCAGCGTGCAGAACAACTACACCACGTAGGCACGTCAAGAAGGTGGGAGAAATACTTTATATACTCCACCTTTTAAAGGCCGACTGGGGTTTTTAGGGGACCCAATCGCCAAATCCTGGGTGGGGAGAAATCATCATCCACCACCCTTTTAGATCGGGCGCAACTGTAAAGAAATTAGGTATCTTTTGGAAGCAGGAAAGATGAAAAATAAGCAAACGCCTTCGCCGGGAATCGAACCACGGACTTCTTGAATACCGTCCGAGCGTGCAGAACCACTACACCACGAAGGAACGCCAAGAAGGTGGGAGAAATACCTTATAAAGTTATGGCCTTCCAGTTTTCCCGAGGCCCTTTCAGAAAAAGTCAACAGTAGAAAAAATGTTTCTTTAAACCTCTAAACATTATGAAGATTGTTTATATTGCTGCGTGCGTACGGGTTCGTAATACATTGAATGCACAAGTCCGATTAAAAACTTAATACAATTTATTCTTATCACACGAAATATGGCAAAATGCTGGATTTTTCCTCAAAGATATTCATACAACATTCACAATATCATTCATATAATAAGTAGCTATATTTTAAACCACTTAAACATTAAATAGAACGCAGCCTAAAGCGCAGAGAAAGCTAATCCGATCCCACCGCTAATTCGCTACAATCAACAAACAACAGCTATTTAATTCTTAGGACTTATTATCACTTCGGACTTATTCTTCGGCTATTTAAACAAATACTGAAATGTTTCTCTCCGGCTTTTATAGCTTTTCAAATCGGCCGCGCGAGACAGTTCTAGCAATTTCTGGAAAGCAAAGAGAGTAGAATTACGGTTACAGCTAACACAGTAGTCAGTTACATTTATTCGAATTAAATATAAATTACAAAGATAAACTTTTATTCAATGTTAGATGCACCTGCTCTTGTATTTTTACTTTTTCGGCGTAGCTTTCTCTTAAAACTCGTCACGCGCTGTATTGCGCGGAGAAATAAAACAATTAAATTATAATTCTACAAAAAAATGTCCAACTAAATACGAAATTCGTAACAATATTTTCAGGAAGATACAATCATTCTCGAAAGGAGATGGTGTTTAATATAATTAGAAATTAGAAGCTTTGTGGTTGTTTAACGCTTCATTTGGTTTTTCACCACTTGACAAGATTCTTTCCTAAGTTTTTTATTTTATTTTTACGTGGGGCATTCTAAAAAAAAAAAAGGTAAAACTAAAATCTGAAAGTGCATTGCTGAAACACGCTACGAACTCATTTGTATGTTTAAAGTGCCCTTATATGTAATAAATATTTGTTATTTACGTTCTTAATAAATATATATTTTTGACATATTTCTTATTCTATCAATTACGCTTCATACCCATAAAGAAGGAATCATTTATAATGATTTCACTTCGTTTACAAAATTCTTAAGTTGAATTTTTTAAACCTATTTTGTTCCTGTGATTTCAAGCTGGACTTAACTAGAGTCGTTTCCAAAAAATTAAGGAAAAATCATAAATTAGCAACAAATAGTTAAAAAAATAAGCCAATCCCTACAGAATTTGAATATGTTGTCAAAGACGAGTTGATGTGTAAACCGCAGGCGTAAATTTGTGGCGATGCAACTAAAACACGTTACATGCGAGGAGCATAAAATTGCATGTTTCACAGCAAGCCTGCAAATTTCGCTGTGAAACTGAGATAAGAAATTTGGGATAGCCAATTCGTAATAATGACCTTCAAACATCATCTGTCCGAAGAATTGAATTGGAGGGCTTTTGTGGAAACAGAGGTAGGACAAAGTAACACAGATGTGGCCAGATCACTAATTACGAGTCCTTCTGTTATCCACAGACTTTGGCAAAAACCTCTTACTACACATTCGGCATGTAGGAGGTTCAGGAAACGGACAGCCAATTGCTACGATGAACGCCGATGACTGATATTTTTTGTTATGTGCTCGAAGGAACAGAATAGCAAGTAAGATCCTCCTTTCCTACAGCCACCGGGAAGTTGGCGTTACATTCAGCAGGAGTAGAACGACTCGCAGAAGAGGTCTGCAAGCGAAGCGATCAACCAAACATTTGCGTGCCGGTCACGTCAGGTCATACAAGGAAACGTTTGAGGTGGGCATTTCAACATGTCGACTAGATGGCTGATCAATGGAGGGCTGTTCTCTTTGCGGATGAGTCCACGTGTAGCCTCCAAGACGACAGTAGGCGTTATTTGATTTGCAGATAACGTGGAACCTTTACAAGCAATGAAACATCCATGAAAGGGATGCTTACGGAGGATGCAATCTCTGTGTTTGGAATGGTATCTTTTTGGGTGGTCGCAAAGACATCCATGCATTTCCATGTGCATTCCGTAAATACTCAGGCCTATGGAGATGACATACTCGATGCGTATGTGCGCCCTTATGCCGGGACAATAGGTGATGATTTCCTACTACAGGACGATAACGCTAGACCGCACATGGTTGGCATCGTAGATGATTATATTGAGCACCTAACAATTCAGCGCATGAAGTTGCCAGCTCGATCACCGGCCCTGAATCCTGTGTAGCACGTTTCAGATGCTTTAGGAAGATGTATAGCTGCTTTAAATCCTCATCTTGAGACCTTTGACACGCTTGTAACTTCTGCAAGATCATTAGCTCTCACTTCCTAGGGAACTCATAGACTGCGCAATTGACAGCATCACACATTACTGTATACGTTGAATAGCTTCTAGAGGAGATGATACTCCATACTGAAGGTAATTTTCCTATACGAAACTCACACATCGGATTTGTTAATTTTACCCATATGCTCATTTCTACTACACCATAATTATCTGATAATTTCTTTTCATGGTATTTTATACTTTACTATGTTTTATATACTACTGTGAGTCTGGCTTTCCTCATCCCCAGTCGCCCTTTAAAAGGGGTGTATATAATGTATATTCTACCTGCTTTCCTCATGCCTTCGTGGTGCAATTAGAAGCATACTCGACACATATTCTTGACAGGTCCAAGGTTCGAGTATTGACTAGGACACTATACATATTTCACGTCTCCTGCGTGAAAATAACCTAATATCTCTACAACTGTAACTAAAGTGATCAATTTAATATCGTAAAATAGTACACAAAACTAAAAACTCGAAACAATTTCAGCAAGACTTACAATTCGAGCTTGTTTTTCATACAAAAGAAAATTAAGTTTATTAATTGAAATAAATGCTTACGCTATATATTATTAAAAAGATAGTTTGACTTAAAAAAATCATTTTTACTTCCTTGTACGAAAAAAAGGAAGTATTGTAATCGCCAAAATTTTCGGGTATCATATTTCAACGAAAATACCCATATTTAACGATATAAATGCAATTTAGCGATGTTTTTGCGAGACATCTGCGCATAAGGACAAAATAAAGGACTCTTTTTCTCAAAACGGGTTGAAAAAGGATTTAAAATGGATTCAGAAGACAATGTTTCGTGACGTCTCGCATAACTCAAAAACGAGTAGCGTCGAAACTTGAAATTTTGTATTGGAGTATTTAATTATGGCAAAGCTCATCACTTATTTAATTATGGCAAAGCTATCTGCCTAAGGGGAGGGATGCCTTCGTGGAGGACTTTCTAAAGGAAACTGGCTCGTATACACGTTACACATGGGGAAAACCACGAAAACACCCATGCAGCCAGCCCGTTCGCGGGATTCGAACCTCGGACTGAACTACCAGTGTCCAGCGACGTTACCGCTCGACCGCTGGTGGGCCTTGAAATTTTGTAAAGAGGACTGTTATAACATGTAGTTTTGCAACTCCGTTTTTGGTTGCAATCGGCCAGATCAAAAGTGTATATATATATATATATATCCAGTTTGTTACTCGGGTCCTTGACCTCAGCATTTTTTAATTCTTATATGTTGGTAAATTGCGCATTTTATGCTTTAAAATGATTGAATTATGTTGTTCCTATCTTCCGTTTAAGGTTTTTATGCCTTTAGTTATTCTGCATGCAATAGTTGTAGAATTAGCTACAGTTTAATAGTTGTTTATGTGCTGCTAAGCATATTTTTTACCATAGCAGACATATTAGTTTACATATGAAACTTAGCAAAATAGTGAATCAAGTCAGTTTCTGGATCTTCAGTGTCTTTTTGCCGAGTGAGACCATAAGTAAACTTTTAGTTTCGTGCACCGAAAATTCTGTCTTCTTGGCCGCTGGCCGAATTGCTTATTTTTGCGTAGGAACTCTAGTTATAATTGTAAAAATTGTTTTAACTGTATTTCGTATTTTATATTTTCCATATTTTAAATTTTAATAAAGATATTTTGAGGTTTTTATGTAGTTTCGCTTTGTCGCGAAATGAGAACCGGTTTAATTGAATGAGAAATATATCTCTACTGAAATTTGAGGAAACAATTTTAAATGAAATGCAGCAAAAATTGCGTATAATTTAACATTTCGTAACAAGGAAGTCATGTGGTGCAGACATCAGATTTTTTTTCTTTAATCTACAGAATGCACAATAGTTGATTTCCACCCTACGAGTCCAAAAGTGAAACATGATTATCTAAATTTATAACAAGAATGGGAAAAGGAAACAAGCATAAAGTGAAATACCTTTCTAGGTATTTCTTTATCGTCTCACGATATGACTGATTAAAAAGAAAATTTTTGACATTCTTGCCAAATACAGAATATGGAAAGCAGGGCGAGTAAAATGGGCAAAGATGCCTATGCCAAAATTAAAAAGTAAACTTATGTGTAGATTGATAGTCAGTTATCAATCTGAATG